TCTAGTTCAGTTTATAAGTAGAAAAATGCAGCCGTAAAAAAAAATGAAAACAAAAACTGCCTAGTGGTTTTGTCCTTTCCATCCAAAACCCGACAGAGGATAAACATCCTCGCTGTGGGGTTGGACTTAGGCTTCCAGACCCTCCTACTTCCGAAGCTGCTCCCCCTCCAGTAGCTGTGAGCCCTCTTCTCCTGAGTAGTAACTTTCATTGTCATGGGGCTAAGTCTCCTCCCCCCTTTTGGCCTAAACTGGCACTTGGGAGAACATCAGAATGCAGACTAGGGGGCAGAGGCACCTCTAGTCCTCCCACAGGCGCCTGGGCGTGGATCGCACTGTGTTTCCGATGGAGGGGAGATAAGCAGCCAGCCCTGGGGCCACGGGCATTTAGTCCTGACAGGAGCAGAGTGGAGAGCCACAGGCAGAGCTCGGAAGGAAGCTAACAGTGCAGATGAGCTTGGGATGGCCGTTGGGGTGAGATGGGGAGAGGTGCTGAGTGACTACGACAGACCTGTGTGCTTTGCAGGTTTTCCGAGTGTTGGCTTTATAATACCTCGTGGTCCAGTCCATGAGGGGCCAGCCACTGCTGCCTGTCGCATGTTCACGGAACCTGTGCCGGACCGGGAGGAGCGTCAAGGCTGGCCAGGTTTTGCTCAAGGGCATCATCAGTTCATGTTTTTAGGTATCCCTGACATCAAATCCAGGGAAATATATATTTTTTTTAACAAAATGGCATACAATGAGACTAGCAATCTTAAAATAATGCGCTTAAAAAAAATCAATGAAGTTTATCAAGAAAAGGACATTTTCCTCTCAAGTTAAAAACACACACACACATAATACTAATTAATCTACATTTACTTTAGAGTTTAGCCTATTTATAGTTTCAGATGTGGATTTGTGTTTTGATGGTCAAGCTCTAAAATAACGAAAATAGCCCCAAATCTTTAAACACAGCGGTGCTAAGTTATACCAGGTAACACAATATAGAAAGTGCTGATATGAATACATTTGTTCTGTAATAACCCAAGAGTTCTTGCTAAATTATATGTGTGTATCACTGCCTGATTAGAAACCCCCGTTTTCTTTTCTAATCCAGCACAAAAATCAAACTGTGATTCAGCAGTCTTTTTAGTGGGTTAAAATGACCCAAGACCGTTGTTTTATATGGAAAACTTTTTTTTTTTTTTACACTAACTTCAAAAGTGCTTAACGATAGGATTATTCAGGATAATTACCCATGCGCACCTTTTTTAAACTTGCTAGAAGAGAAATGCGCCTCCAACCTAGCATCCCAAGAAGACACCTTTTAGAAACTGGGCGTCCTGCCTAAACATAGCCGTTTGTTAGCCATTGTAGGTCTGTTAGTGTTTTCCACATCTGTCACCTCGAGGGTGACGCCCCATCCACACTGTAGAAGCCACTTCGTAGGTAAGAGTTAATGGCTCGGTTGCACTTTGGTAACCAGGTGATATGTGCACGTACTTAGACTGGCTTTGTTTTAACATTATATTCTCTCTGCCTCTCCGCACTTCAGGTTCTTAAGCTATTTTAAATAAATGACTCGGTTTTGGCAAACACCAACTGAAATGTGTATGGCACCTGCTTTCCTGAGCAAACGTTGATTTGTTTTATGGCTGTTCAAGTTATCAAGTTGTTCTTATATTGTAGGTTAACAAAATCTTGCTGTTTTTAAAGGTCACTGTAACTTGAGTTTCAAGTTTCGGGCACAATTTTATTAGTATTCACTTCTGAAGCTAATAAGATACCACGGTTTTCTATGTTACTCTCATTGTAACATCAATAAAGTGACTTTCAATAAAAGATCAATGTTATTTTGATGCACAACTCCCTTTAATCCTATTTTCTCCATTTGTGTTGGGGGTTTCTTCTCTGGAGCATGCGGTCTCGTCAGCACGATGAGAAACACGGTGGTCCTTCGGTGAAGCCTGAATGCTCAGTGCTGGGCGTTTCCTCTTTTTATCCACCTGCTTTGTCTCCTCCTTTTGTCCTTTCTCTTTGACCCTAAGAAGGGTCAGTTTCCTGTATCCTGACCTAGAGCTCAGGCAGTGGTGCTTAGTTAATAAGCTCACCTGTGTTAGACACTAAAGCAATGCACCTTGGAGGGCCGTTTAGGTTCATGAGTTCAGACTAAAAAACTGTCCCATGTGGCTGCGTGACCGCCGCCCAAGCAGCCATTTAGCCCACCACCTTGCCCCTGGTGCCTGCACTTCCCTTAGCTTTAGATCTTACTCTGCTAGAGGAAAAAGTAGTGAGAAAAATAGAAGTCATTGATTAAGGACTTGTGCATTTATTATGAGTCAAAAATATGGTGGTAACAGAGCTCCATTTCCTGTATTGATATTTTAGGCATACATAGTTAAGATGAGCATTGAAAGTGACACACTCAGCTAAGTGAAAGCCAAGTCTAGTTCAGAGAGCAGGACTTTCAGCTCGCAAGCCATCTCTCAGACTGAGGGCACCACCTGGACATCACGCGGCAGGGGAGCCTCAACTTCACCTGGGCCCAGCGGGAGTGAGCTGTGACCAGTTAGATGACAGTGTGCAACCTATGCCAGTCGTCCCAGGGAAGCACCAGGCCTCCTGCAGCCACATCCATGAAGTGCTTGACACGGGTGATAGTGCTTCCTAACTCACGAATCTCTCGAAGCAGAAGACTAAAGCACACTTCTGCAAAATTAAATTAAATCTGGAGACAGGGTAACTGGAGGAACTGAATTCTCCAAATAATTCAAGTATTTAGGTCTGACGGCACAGCTTTACCATGCTTTAAGAAAAACAGACCAAGAACCAGCTGTGAAGCGGGAGAGGTGGCATTGGAAGTATAGACTGAATGAAACACAGAACCCACCATGAAATAGAAATAAGGCAATACGAGATTCACTTGTAATGAAGACTTTGGCTGTAATTAAAGAAAGGAGATGTATGAGTCAAATTCTTCAAGAGGAAGGAAACTTGCTGACTGCAGGGACACACTGAAGGCTAGGCTCCCTGCTTTTGGAAAGAAAGAGCAAAAGCAGAAGTGGAAGAGATGCAGAGACTTGCTACAAGGTATCAATAATGAAAACTGAATTATTTCAGAGATGTGGTTTTGTAATACGTTAGCACTGACCCAAAAGCCAATTCAGAACCATGACAGATGGCAGCCAACCTGGGGACTTATCAAAGCAGTCAGATGGTTCAAATGTGGCCCCTAACCTTGAGCCAGCAAGGACTTTCTTCCTTACCACATTACTCATCCAGAAAACGGCCCTGTCCTAAACTGTGACTTCTTCAGAGGGTCTGGTAGGTGCAAAGCAAACAGGCGCTGGGACTCGGAGGGTGTTCCCTGCCTCCTGGTCCCTGAGCTCTCTTTGGCCCTTTCTTGGACGGCCCAGGATCAAGCCAAGGTTTGAGCCCCAGACAATATGTCTGGAATGAAACCTACACTCACCACACAAACCCACACTCACACACAAAAGTAGGTTTACAGTTGTGAGTATGCAAAACAGTTTATTCTTGTATTCTTTTATTTTCCATATGAAGAACTATAAACCTACTTTTGCCCCACCTTGTATTAAGCAGACTGCCTCACATTCTAATATGTAGCCCAGGTATGACTACTTGACATAAATACATAGTTAGGGTTGAATAAATATGTATAAAATTTATATATTTTAGTAATATTTGGAAAAAAAAAACTAGTGAAGTGTGGCTAAAGATGCTTAGAAATGTTTTATTTTCATCAGCTGACATCAGAATGGGAGCTGCCACAATGTGCCCTAAAATTAGACCAGTATTCTGCTGGCAGGGAGAAAACGACTCATTACTTTACCTGTTAAGCTCTCTTACAAAAAAGAGCAAACCGGGCCAGGTTTAAATTTAAGAAACAGAAATATTATTGGTGTTTATTATACCAACATCCTTTTTCATAGTCAGGTTTAACCCAGGAGGTAATAGTTACCTCCTTTTCAAAGATGGGGAAACGCAGGCTCTAAGATGATCTAAAAGGACCAAACCACATATATAGTGAGAGGCACAGCCAGCATTAGAATCCAGATCTTACTTAAAAGCACACGGTTAAAATATGTTCTAAAAAGTCCTCCATTATAAATACTTGCTTATCAGAGAATATCTAGAAAAGTAGTAGGAAGGAGCCTTGGAAAGGAACTCATGACCCTGACTCCCAGTGACCGTCACATCAACATTTGGTACACAACGTCCAGACCCTTTGCTGTGTATATTTTTTAATGTAAGTGTGAACACATGGCATATCAAAATGAAAGTATCAATATTTAAAAAATTAACATCTGACTTTAAAGAAAAGCACACACATTATAGAAAACTTGGAAAATACTGAAACGTATAAAGGAAGTTAAATCACCTAGAATTCTATTAGCCAAAATAATCAGTTAATATTTTCGTATATTCCTTTAGTCTTTTTCTATTAATTTTCTTTTTTACATAGTTAAACTCATAATGTACAAGGTTTTTTAAGTATGGCTAGCGAAGGTCTACGTGGATGATGACAATATCTCAGTGACAGACAGCATTTGCCACTCAAATTATTCAACAGGTTTTCAAGATGCAGAAAAGCATCACTCCTGTTCCTGTCTATTTGTCTGGCCATCAAAACATCTGTAAGCTCGAAAGCTGCGCTAAGTTTCCACTAAGGTGAACCCTGACATGGTTTAGCGTGGTTTTTCCTGCATCCAAGTAGGTATAAAACATTTTACATGACAAGAATACTCCATACATAAAGCTTTCAATACCGTGCAAAAGCCCTCCTAGGAGAGGAAGGACAACAGCTGCAGTCCAATGAAAAGGTTTTAGTATCCTACAGTGAAAAACACAGTGTGCCTTAAACATTTTGCACACTTCAATTTACATAAAACAGGTTTAGTAAGAAAATAAGGCATGACAATGGCTCAAAGAAGTTCATAACGCTGAAACAGAACTGATCTTATTTTAATAAAATTCCAAAGAATTTATTATCTAAACTGAAAACAAAAACTTAGATGTACATAAGGTAACAACAGCCGTTAAGGAAAAGTGGCCAAGCAAGTTTACACGTCACTGAAGGAAGCAAAGAGCAAGAGCACTCCAGCTGGAATGTCAACGTTGTTCACAGTGTCCTCTTGATTTAAATACTCATCACACACTGAATGAACTGAAAGAGAAACATCAGCATTACACTGCAGATCTCTTAAACTTAGTACACCCTCACTTATTTTTAAGCAGCTTACATTTTTTTATTCTTTTAATTATGGATTTCAAAAAATCCTTTATAAAGTAAGAGTAAATGACATATGCAAAGGCTTTTTTTTTTTTTTAAGGAAGCAGTCTAATATAAAATCCAATGGGTGCCCCGGCTGGGTGGCTCAGTTGGTTGGAGCATGGTCTTGTATACCAAAAATGTTGCAGGTTCAGTTCCCGGTCAGGGCATGTATAGGAGGCAACTGATCGATGTTTCCTTCTCTCTCTCTCTCTCTCTCTCTCTCTCTCTCTCTCTCACTCTCTCTCTCTCTCTCTCTCTCAAAATCAATAAACATATCCTTGGGTGAGGATTACAAAAAAAAAATCCAATGGCTTTCTCACATCAAAGCTTACCAGAAGCAGATCTTACTCTAGTGGATAAAGAATTATTTAAATTCCAAATACTAAATTAGACTCTAGAAATGGGCATGGTCAAAGATTCCTACTCAAATAGAAATAACAGTAATAACAGTTGCATTTATACATTTATATAATGTGGAGACTTCCAAACTGCACAGGATCATCCCATTACTCTAACAGAGCTCCTTTAAACAGTTTACTCCTTTAAAATCTGCTTAATTAAATCATAGCATACAAGTATATGTACGCACAGAAACAGACTATCAGACCCGTCTGCAATTCAGAAACCTATTAGAAGCATCAGTATGTGCTGTAAAATGTTTCTTTGCTTCACCACTAAACACACACCAAGACTCTGATTTTCCTTATCAATTTTCTTTCTCCCTCTTCTACCAGTGAGAACTGTGCCCTGCTAATCCTCGAAGCACTGCTGCAAGGCCAAGCTGACTGTCCCCATTTCAGGGAATAGGACACGAAGGATCGAGATGTTTAGGTATCTCTTAAGTGGCCCCATCTGAGGCCAAAGCTGTGCACTTTCCACTCCACAGGCTGCCTCTCCTTTGGAAACAGTGACGGGACTGTCACCTGAGAAGATGCACACTAAAGAGAACACATCTTTAAGCAGAAAAAATAAACATATTTACACACAAGCCTTTTTTAAAGTGTACTCATAACTGCAGTAGCTGCCAAGCTGAATACATGTGCATCTTTGTATTTTGTATGGAGAAACATGTAGTTTACTCAGTTATCACAGTGATTTTATTCTAAAAGTAATTACAGCAAAAAATAGAGAAACAACTAAACATCTCCCTAGTTTGTTAAGTATATCAATTGAATGCAAAGACGGCCCTTGGTTACTTTCACACTGGTGACATGGCCTCATCCTACCTCGTTTAGTGTGGCTGTGCAGTAAACATGTTTTACATTGTGACTTAAGTGTGTCCCTGATGTCCTCCATGGAGGACACGGTTGTGTCAAATACAGTTCTGGGCTGTTATTTCTCAGTGACTGAGATGATGGCAGAGGCAGACTGAACATATGAATGATATTTTTCAAGGACATTTCTGATTGAAATCTCCCAACAGCCCAGTGAAGAAGGCATTATTATTACTACTTCCTCTTCCCTCAAACAGTCTTGGAGCAATGACGAAACCTGCCTAAGTGACCCAGCTAATAAGTGGGACAAGCTGGGCTTTGACCCAGGCCTTTCAGTGCAAAGCCAACAGTGGTGTACGGATGAGATGAATAATAAGTGAAACTAATCAATCTTGAATGGTAACTCTTGGTCATTTACGCCTGGATTCCTCTGGCATCCTTGAGATGCTCCTTACAGTTAACTCTAAAAGGGATGCCCATTTGGTGTCCATCTTATTCATCTACTCAGTTTTGAAATTGCTGAGACTTACATCATCATATGGGAAATTCACAACACCTTGCTGACCAGTATCTCTTCTTCGAAAGTTGTCTGTAAAACATGACAGTAAAATTTGTTTGTTATTAAACATCTTATATGAACTCACAATGGTTAATTATTTTGGACTTGGGTTCACACTGTAACAACATTTAAATTGTACAACCAGTCAGCATAACCAAAACACCAAAGCAAAGACATATATATATATATATGTAAAAGTAGAAATAATATACAACAAAGTGATGCAGTATGCAGAGTTGGCCAACGGTCTTCCAACACTGAGCTGAAAGAAAACACCGTATCCCAAAGTCAGTAAAAACTTTGCAACTTCTGAGGCCTTTACTTATTTTGGATGAAAGCACAGAATTTCAAACTTCTTGATACCACAGATATCGTTTAATTAGGAACCAGACAGACGGAGTGCCCACTATGACAAATGGGTGGTGATAAAACAGCCTACCGCTTCAGCTCTCCACTGTTAGAAAGGGGTTACTTTAATAAAAAATCTGCCCTCAAATTTTTTTAGGATGAATAAGAATTATAAAACCTGATATTAAAAAGAGTAAAAAGAGAGGAATGGGACAAGATGTACGAAAGAAAGAAAAATAATATAGGGCATATAAAAGTATAGAGATTATTGTTATCTCATCATTTAAGAAATACACCAGCAACAGATAACCACTATTTTAAATTACTTTCAGTAGGAGAAAAATAGGAGAGAGTTACAAATGAGTAATATCACTATTTTCAAATATTTCACACACTAGCCCAGCCGATGTGGCTCAGTGGTTGAGCGTCGACCCATACACCAAGAGGTTGCTGGTTTGATTACCGGTCAGGGAACATGCCCAGGTTGTGGGCCAAATCCCCAGTCAGGGGGCATGCAGGAGGCGACCAATCAATGTTTTCTCTCATCGATGTTTCTCTCTCTCTCCCTCCCTCTCCATAACTACTTTTTTTATGTTTTGGAACATTTCAGTAAAATTTAGTTAGGTCCTGGCCGTTGGTTGGAGCACTGTCCCGTGCACCATATGGTATCTGGTATAGGCACATACCTTGGTTTTAGGTTTGATCCCCAGTCAGAGTGCATACAGGAGGCAACCAATGGATGTTTCTCTCTCTCTCTCTCAAATCAATAAAATAAACATATCCTTGGGTGAGGATTAAAACAAATATATCTAGCCTGGCCAGTGTGGCTCAGTGGATGGAGCATCATCCCATGGACTGAGAGGCCTGGTTCGATTCCCGGTCAGGGCACATGCCCGGGGTTACAGGCTTGATCCCCAGTAGGGGCTGTGCAGGAGGCAGCCGATCCATGTTTCTCTCTCACATCGATGGTTCTCTCTCTCTCCCTTGCTCTCTTTCTTTCTTTCTTTTTTTTTTTTATCCTCACCTGAGGACATTTTTCCATTTTTTATTCAGATAGAGCGGGAAGGAAAGAGAGAAACATCGATGTGAAAGGGACACATCGAGTCGCTGCCACCCACACGACCCAACCAGGGCCGGGGACAAACTGCAGCCAAGGTACATGCCCTTAGTGGGAACCGAACCCGGGTCTCTGTGGACCACAGGGTGACGCTCTAACCGCTGAGCCAAACTGGCCAGGGCCCTTGCTCTCTTTCTAAAAAAGTCAATAAAAACATATTTAAAAAACAAAAATAAATATAGTTATATTTTTTAACGGCAGATTGTGTACAAATCTGAAAAATTTTATGAAAAAAAATTCTGCTAGACAAGTCCAATAGCAGTGTTAAAAAGCCACTTAAGTTAGAAAAAGAAAGACTGGGACAATAAAGTTCAGAAGCACTAAGAAATGACGTCATAAAAATGTGTGTTCTTGGCCCGTGGTGACGCCGCCGCCTCAAAGCACACACCTGTCAGAGCACGCAGTTTCACACAGCAGGCGATGTAGTCATCGAAGGTGATCTTTCCATTGGTGCTATATCGTTTTGCAATCGAGTTCACGGCCTGGGGACTCAACCGAAATCCTGAAAAGAAAATTCATCCAGCCAAAAAAGTTCAAGGAGTACAGAAAGATCATTAAAAATAATCAAGCACAATGTTTTAAGACTCAGAGTACTATGACTACGCAATGCTTCTAGAATACAGAAACTGCCTTCAGGTGGCACTTAGTTTTAGAAATTAAAAACTCAAATTGCTCCTGCTCAGACCCACCCATTGTTGTCAGGGCCTTCTGCAATTCTTGAGGATCCACTGTTCCACTCCTGTCGCTGTCGAAACTGATGAAGTGTTGTCTCCAGCCATTCAGTACAGACCAGAGTTCTTTAAATTCACTGAAGCCCATCGTGCCTGACAGATCTCTCTGAACTGCAATTAAGGATTAGAGCATCTTTTGGGGGACAACACTGTCTAATGATTAAATCAAAGACCAAGGATAAGGAAATCTAAAGTTCTGTCTGTTACAATGTTGCACGTTCTTGGTATGATATAATAAAAAGACACTCCAAAGATAAAATAAACAGGGCTTAGGGAGAAAAAGCTGAGTCCATCTTTTCACTGTGGGGAAAAGATAACCTGTGTGATGAGATTACAAGGAAATGACGTGGTCACTGTGAGCCGCATGTGAAAAGCACTCTTGTTGCTGGAACTGGCTGCACGTTCTGGATGCCCCAGGCTGTGCTGCTCACCCTCTGTCCTGGGGTTCTCACTGGGCCTAACCTTCCCTTGGTAAGCCCTCTCAGACCCAGGGTTTTCACTTTTGAAAACGAGGTGGGATGGAAGATTCCATAAGGTCAGCACTTGCTAAACTGAGTCCCACAGTTGTGCTGTGAGAATTCCACTGCTTGAAGGTCAGGTGTCAGCCACACACAGCCATCATCGTTAAAGAAAAAAAGCTTCCCCAACCAATACTGCTCTCCTTGGATGCTTCCTTAAAATCTTGAACAATCAACACTCTATTTACTAAGCTTCCTTCCTTTTTCCATCTTAAATGCTAAAGATTTTGGCCCTGGCCAGTGTTTCCGAATGGTTAGCACATGGGTCCAATGGTTAGAGCATGGGTCCACGGATCAAAGGGTTGAGGGTTTGATTCCTGGTCAAGGGCATGTACTTGGGTTGCCGGTTTGATCCCTGGCCCTGGTTGGGGTACGTATGAGAGGCAACCAATCCGTGTGTCTCTTTCACACAGATTTCTCTCTCTCGCCCCCTTCCCTCCCACTCCCTCTAAAAATAATAATAATAAAATAAAAAATTAAAAGAAAAAAGAATGGAAAAAAAATATCCTTGGGTGAGGATTAAAAAGAAAAAAAGCTAATAATTTTGGGAAAATGTTCTGGTCATTTGTCACTGTGTTCACCAGGTATGAATTCTTAAATGAATCCCCTAGGGAGAAATTGTTTTGAGAAGAAAAAAATACTGTAGTCAGCAATCAAGGTAAAGGATACATCCAGCATAGAAACCATAAGCCGACAAGTCTCCAGGTTAAAAGCTGTTAAATCAAGAACATATATATTAATACAATTTCAAAAATTCACGTAACATTAAATACATTCAAATTAGGAATATCATTTATACACTCTTATTTTTTATATGCTACTCAATTTATGTGAAACTATATTATATGGAGCTTTGAAGTAGATTTTTTCCAGACAGGATTCCTTCTAAAACCCAAATCTGATTTTAACAGCTTTATAGGAATCTTCATAAAAAAGTACTGCATAGTATTGTTAATATTTTTAGGTGTGAGTATGGTTTTGAAGGTCAGGTAAAAAAGTGTCCTTATCTTTTTGAAAAGCGTACACTGATTATTTGTAGGCAAATGACTATAAAGAAATCTGGAATTTGCTTAGAAGAAGAGTCAGTGTCCCTGATGAAACCAGAATGGCCACAGTGACAACGGCTGAAGTGAGTGACGAGTACACAGATGTTCGTTGTATAATTACCTCTATTCTTGGATAGGCTTCAAGTTTTCTATAACATCGTCTTTTAAAAATACTATCTATTTCCTACCTCTGAAACTCTAATATAGTGAGGTCAGTTCACCACAATGAGCCATAATGTATTACGTCCACCACGTGAGAAGGAGGGAGGGGTGCTTTGTCGCTGTCCTACTTGACTATAAATAGCTGGTTAGCTGGTGCTCTGTCTGATCATATTTTTCTTTCTTTTCCCTTTAATGTCAGGCACTGCACAGTAACCTCCTACTTCAAATAGCCTGACCTCTTTTCACACACAATAAACTTATATATGAAACCAGATAAACGCGCTTGCTAGAATTGTGTGTTCAATCAAGTGCTCTGGAGTAAGACGCAATAAGGACTTAGAGTCCCGGATCCGATTCCAGCCAAGGGCATGTACCTCGGTTGCAGTTTGTCCCCGGCCTGGTTGGGGCCGTGTGCGGGAGGCGACCAATCGATGCTTCTCTCTCACATCAATGTTTCTCTCTCCCTCCCTCCTGCTCTATTTGAAGATAAATGGAAAAATATCTTGAGTGAGGATTAAAAAAACAACAACAACAACAACAGCATTTAGGCCAAACCTTCAATGACAGAAAGATGGAGGACATTTGGTGACAGCCGCACAGAGCTAGGGGCTGGCAAAAGCAAGGCAGCAGGAAAGTCCAGGGCAGGCAAAGGACCTGAGGCTACACTACAGAGGATCTTGAATTCTTGATAAACTGTTTAGCTTTTATCTTATCAGCACCATGGAGCCACTCAAGCTTTTTAGAGGAGAGTGACAAGTGAGAGCTGTTTCAGGAAGAACAGAAACCTGGTCATTGTTTGTAAGGGTTTGAGAGGGAGGAAATGCAATGGGCAGTGAACAAAAGTGAACTAAACAGAAAATACACCGTTCCAGACAGTTAGTTCTAGGGACTAGAATGCTAATGTCTAATAAGTTTGGGTGAGGAGGCTCTTGCTCAATATTCCTTGTATTTTTCCCACAGAAAAAGCCTTTAATACTAATTCTATTTTAAATAATTTCAAAATAATCTTTGCCATAGTTTTACCTTTCCTCTCCTCCAGTTCCTTTCACTAGCGTGCCTCAAACACCTTTCCTTCTAGTAGAAATCCACAATGTATCAGACCTCGCAGGAAAGCCCTACCTCCAGGAGTTTCTCTCAGCTGCTCCAGAGGAACAACTACACTCAAGGCAAAAACAGAAGCTGAAAGATGGTCTTATAGACTAAAGCAACTGCCCTCAGCCACCCCACCTCTAGGTGTGGCTGCTTCCTAGTGAACAGGTTTAAAAGCTGCCTGTACGTTCTAGACTGGAGCATAACCCCTCGCGTCCTATCTGTGCTGTTTTGGTTTGGAAGCTGGGTTTAAAAGACCCAGGAATGTATACTTTCTGAATTACGACACTCAGTCTGACATCTCTCAAGCAGGATGGTTCTGTGGTTCGGTGCAGCCGCCACCACCAGATGAAGTGAGCAAATGAATTCAAACACATGGTCCTGACGACTCAGGAAGAGTCTTCTCTACGGCTCAATGATCTGGGGCCATCATGAAGCACGGCTTTCTCAGATGAAATTCTGAAAAGGACTGCTCTCCAAGGGTTTAAAAGCCACCAATAGTCAGAGTTTAAAACATACCACACCTCTTGTACTGCAAGAGTGTAGAATCATAGTGTACGCTGTGACAGCTCACTTCTGTAAACCCTGTATTAGACCTTCTGTTCACTAGCCCCAACTGCCGAGGTTAACAATGAATAATGTACATGTATTGCCTACAATAAAAACATCCCCTCGCTAGAAAGGGCTTCTTTTGTGTAGGACCAGGTTACATGGCAGAAATGCAAAAGCTTACTCTTTTGCATTAATTCCCCCCACTAGGAAATATAATAGGCTACTGAAGTCACATAAAACAAAGGATAAAAATAGAAATGCAAATAGTTTACAAAGAGAGCCAGCTAGTAAATATGCCATGTCAAACAATCCAAAAATGCCACTATAAATCATAAATCCTCAGGCGTGAATTTTAGTTGGAGCATTTTAGTTGTTTTCCAGGAAGTTGGGGTTTCGACTTAATGTTCTGCCTCAGTTAACACATGGCAAAGAAGTTGACAGCTAAAGCACCTCCGTCAAGACACTACTGCCTGCCCTGGATGTGTCACAGATCTGATCTGCAGAGGCATGTGGTATGTGTGGGGTGAAGAGAAGCCCCCAGTGGGGGCTGGGGGGAGGCAGGGTCTCTGCAATGGTTTCCTGTTTGCAGCTTGTGGCAGAGCTCAAAGGGCAGGAGAGTGGTGGACGTACTACATTGTAAGGCAGCAGAACTAGTGGGTGAGGAGCTGAGGAGGACGGGAAAGGATGACGAGTGTATAGTTTGGAAATTAGGAAGAGGATGTCCTTCTTAGCCCAAACGCCTTCTCTGGAGTGGGAAGAAGAAAGCAGAAAGGCCTGGGGGAGGTCCTGGCCGGGATTCCTGCCGCCAGCAGTGTGCCGAGACCAGGAGCGCAGAACTAGCTCCGGGAGAACCATGGGAGGACGCCAGGACCCACCACTCAGAAGTGGGAGTGCAGGCAGGCCCCTCGGGGACCGAGTGCACAGGACCAGCCCTAGTGCCACCAGGCTCAGGACAAAGTAAGCTCTTGGCAAAGAGCAGTAAATGTTAGCTACTGTGAATGAGAAAGGGACTATGGACCAAACCTCACAAGCTATCGGGGAGCCACACAGCAGGCCTGACATGCTCAGTGACCGAAGGTAAACACAAAGGATGGTCTGATCATAAATTCCTAACTGGGCAGGCCATGGGAATTACTCACAGCCCAGGCCTATCTGTTCCTTAGCAAAGATCAATCTTGACCCGAAGTGAGCCCTGTCTACTGTTATGCATCTAGGAAAACATACCTTTGAAATGTCAGAGTCATTTTCTTTCCCTACCCCTGAAGGCACAACCTCAAGCACCAAAGCATGAGACCAAAGAACACTCATTGTTACCTTATTGCTCACATACCAGCTCTATCTGCTATAAATGTTAATTATCAACTGTCCTGTAACCACCACTGTAACTATGTTTCTCCATTTTGCCTTTTATCCAATCCTAGAGATTTCCCCATTCTGCTTTCTCCCACCTCCTTAATCTACTACCAATGGATTCCATGTACCTTTTTTACATTTTCTCCCTTGATTCAAAATACATAAGAGGAACTGCAAAACTGCCATTCTCCAGAGCACTGTCTCAATTCATTGATTTGTTTTCCATCATGTCTTCAAAATTTTGGCTTATATAAACTCTTATGAAACTTATCTATAGGCTGGACATTCTTTTATCATTAAAAACACCTGTCCTGTTGAAGAAGGCCATATAAACTGTTTCTGCTTCAAATGGACCCAGATACATGAAACCCAAATTTAAGAAACCCACTAAATTGGCAGGTAGTGTGGAATGATTAAGAACTGTTTTCAAATTCACATTTTGAAATAATTCACATTTTGAATGTCATTTTTGAAATTCTAAATGTTGCTGGGTCAGGAAAGCTCAGTTTCCTTGAAGGCTGTCATCACCGCTAAAATATGAAACAGAGTACTTCAAGAGAAACACTGGGACTGTCAACTCACGTTTGTATCCTCCAGCAATGCCCGACTGTGTCAGGCATCTCTGCAATTCATCAGCATCTATTTGTCCATCCTTTTGAAAACAAAAACAGGAAGAGAAATCACAACAATAATTTGTACTTTCTAGTTCTGTTTACTTTCAGTATTCAATGTAGCAATAATAACCAAGAAAATGAGTTTTCTCGAATGAGACTTTTGTTTTAAAGACATGTATTTCAAAAATAGGCATTCTTTTTTTCCAAGAATTATTTCATGATGAAAGAAAGGCAAATTGTTACATCCTCTTCCGCAAAAGGATAATTAGGGCCATTAAAAAAAAGTGCATTTCTTAGTATCAATTTCAGACTCTATTCTTATCTTATTATTACACAAGAATGAATAAAGTCAGAAAGCTGCTTACACCTATACTTTAATGTATCTTCTCATCATTTCCTCTAAATTCCTGAATTAGATTTGGAAAAAAACATCCTCAAGTATAAGGTTCCTCTCTTAATAAAACACTGAGATGAAATGTTTCTTCCATTGACATTTGATATTTTTAAATGAATGAATAAAACTAGTTTCTGTCTAGAACTACTCGTCTCACTCTGAGCTAGGAAAGTGCCAAAGTTAAGCATTTTAAAATAAAATAATGTATGTAGTTGCTTAAAATCTTATTCTTCTTTCTAGCTTTTTGGGAGAGAAAAGCAAGGCACACAGCTGATACCAGTATGTAAAAGCCTGGTTCAGAGAGAGAGACCTTCGTGATCGCCTTTCTTATGATGAGGCGAATGGTTTTCTCAGATCATAGCTACATATATCTGGAAGGTACAGGTTTCCAGTGCCTATTTATTGGCTGGCCTAGGTCAGAGCTAGGTATGTATTTTTAGGGACTTAAAAAATAAAATACCCAATTCCTCAAGTCCACAGGTATTATGAGTTCTAAATGAGGAGCAGGGTGAACAATTTGAAAGAGATGGCTATGCTGACACAGGCCAGGCTGCTGAAAGCTAAGCAGGTGGGGTCACTTACACGGCTGGAGGCACAGGCAATCTAAGAACGAGAGTCTTGAGCTTTGCTGTGTCTTGTGGTTTCAAAGATACAGATCATTACAGATTAAGCAGATACTTAAAGGGAAGCTCTTTCAGTTTTAGACTCAATTTTCCACTCAATTTCTCAAACTGTATTTCTTAGAGTGCCATTCTAAAAGGTGCTGTTAGGCTTTTACCCCATATATTCCATGGCATTTCCACATTAAGACTGTGTTATTTCTAGCTTTGATCAAAACAAAGCTAAGGTGAATTTTCATGAGCAAACACCCTCTGGAAGGACACATCTGGGTTACACCAACAGCATGTTTACCATCCACAATAACGCCCTGAACTAGGGAAGTGTCCTCCCTCAATGTACACAACCACCTGTTATACAACTCGAAATTTAAAGAAGTGAATGAACTTGGGGACAGACCTTCATTCTCTCTTTGGGTCAACAGGCCACAACACCTAATAAGGACAAAGGAGAACTGACCTAGTAACAGCACCTCTATCAAAGTGAAACTAAACTGTTCACAAGATTAACTTCCTGATAGTAAGAAGAGAGTAGTAACTTTATTTTGAAGCTGGTGGGTTTTTGCCATAAATACCTATTTCCTAAGGGGGTAACTGAATAACAATCGAATTCAATCCAAAGAAAGCATCTATTAGAATCTGGCTACAGATTTACTAGTATATGCCTTTAAGACGTATAAACGGCTTTATGTTCACCAGATCGGTAATTTCTTCTCTGGAAACCACCCTGGACGCTGACAATTCAGTTCTAAAGACATCTTTTTACCTCACAAAGCTTCGAAGGGTATAAATAATCCCCTATTCTGTTCAATCTGACCCTAATTCAATCACAAGTTTAGTTTTAAATTGAACTAACATCAACACGAGTCACATTTTGTCCTAATTTGTGTTCTCAATATTCAGAAATAACTGGCTATACATTTCCTTTCTCTCTTTTTTTTAAAATTTTGCAAAAGCAAAAGGATGCATTTCCAGAGGAAAGGTCATTTTTCTGGCAACTATAACAAAGATTAATATAAATGTAGAATCTGATGATTCTTTAATATTGACGGGAAAAGCTAACCTGTCCAGCTACTGAAGCAAAGTAACCATACAGCGGATCCTGAGTTTGTCCGGGAAACGTAGGCCCTCCGGGAGCCCCTCCATACTGTAAAACAGAAAACAAATTTAGCATCATTCCAATGAACCAAGTTTTAATCTTTCACCACTGAGAGCCTTTGTGCAAAGCCAGGCGATGGCTCGCCCTTCACGTCATTTACCTGCCCACCACCGGGCACACTCTAACTGCAATCACTCTACCCCTTTCTTCCATTCTCACTCCCGCATAATTTAAAAACTGGAGGCTTGGACCAAAATGAATTGTCCTGACGGTAAGTGAAGCATCTTGTAAAACCCCTATTAACCTCCAGGCTGCTAAGATAAATGCAACCTGGGCAAACAGTTTAAGGGCGGGCTTAAATGTATTTTTATAGCGTTTTATGGTATTTGCAAAGCGTTTGGGGACAGGTGTAGCCAGGGAGGGGTAAGGTGTGTCAGGATTGGGCTATTTCGCCGCGAGGGAACATTGTCTTGGAAACAGTTCCCACGACAACGCGCATCCCAGACTCCGGGCGAGGGGCCTTCCTCCAGAGGACTTTTACTCTGGCGGTCTTTCCCTGACCCTACTCTCACTTTCTTTTAAAGTGAGAAGTAGGTCTCCGGACCATTCTAGGTTAAAATGGCTGGTGCTCCCAGGGAAAACCCGGCGGGAGGGGGAGGAAGCCAACACCCAATCTGCACAATTTCACGCCGCGAATCCGAGAGTCCCAAGGTGGGCTTTCGGGATCGCAATCCACCCGAACCTTGGCCCCGTGCGGCCCCCCGTGGAGAGACAGGGGACAGGGAGAAGGAGGGAGCTAGAGAAAGAGACCGAAAGGTCTGGGGGAGACAGCGGGCAGGGAGAAGCCGGGGCGGGAGGCGCCCTGGGAGTCGCCAAGTGTGGTCTCTCGGCGCCCCCGGTGTCCAAGGGTCGCGTGGACTGCACTTACCCCGCCCGGGTAGTACCCACCGCCGGCGCCGGGGTGCCCTGGGTAAGCCATGGTGCAGACTGCGCCGCCGCCGCCGCCCTGCGCGCCACCCCTCCCGCCGGCCGCCCCACCAACCCGGGTCGCACCACGCGGACCGGGGGACACGCCCCGCAGCCGCCGCCCGCACTGGGGTCCGCGGCGGCCTCGGCCCGCTGCCCGCGCCCAGCCCTGGCTTTATGTTTCATATTCCCAGCTGCGCACCCTCCAAGGTCCAGCAAGTGACCTCAGAACTGCGAAAGAATTCACACCAGGGACTCTCCTCCCTCCGTAAAGAATGGTACATTCCAATATCAACACCCGGCCCCGGGAATTCTTTTTTTCTTCCTATTTGGCTACCTTCTGCTTTTTTTTTTTTTTTTTAATTTTAAACTTTATTGGCAGGGCGGCCCGGCTCTAAGCAGAGTGCAGTATCGCGGGGAGGGGCTGAGTCCATTAGGGGCAGCTCTTAGATGCTGTGGGGGAAGGAGGCTTCATTGAAAGATCAAAATAAGAAAGCGCCCTTGCAAAAACAGGAGTAAAGCCCTGGTCAGTTTGGCTAAACGGTTAGAGCCTCGGCCTGCGGTCCAGAGACAGCTGGGTTCGGTTCCGCTAAGGGCATGTACCTCGGTTGCAGTTTGTCCCCGGTCCTGGTTGGGTGGGGGAGATGGCAACCACTCCATGTGTCCCTTTCACATCGATGTTTCTCTCCCTCTCTCTCTCTCTCTCTCTCTCTCTCTCTCTCTCCTCCCTCCCTCTCTACCTGAACAACGGGTAAGGATAAAAAAGAAAAACAGGAGTAAACTTCGGGAACTGTGTGCAAGGGAGCGTTTGGCATGCGGTTGCACGTTTCACTGAACAACAACCCGCGGGACATTGTCATCTCAGGGTTAAGCGGGGCGTAGTACACAGTACTACTGCCTGGAGAGGACAGAGGGCATGTACTGGGAAGGGCAGCCAGACCCAGATGGTATGAGTTTGAATTAGTAGCTGGATGAATCACGCAAAATAAACCCTCCCACCAAAATGACTCAGCTAAATTTTATACAATAAAAGTTTGGAGCCAGCGGTTGAGCACTGACCCATGCACCAAGAGGTCGTGGGTTGGATTTCCAGTCAGGATGCATGCCCAGGTTGTGGGCCTGATCCCCAGTGAGGGGCATGCAGGAGGCGGCAATTGTTCTCTCATCGACTTTTCTCTCTCTCTCTCCCTCTCACTTCCTCTCTCTCTAAAAAATCAATAAAGGGGAAAAAAATTTTATTTTAAAGTTTAGAGCCAGCGAAGAATGCCCTGGTAAAGATATTCAGGAAGGTGGGAGATTGGAACTTCTCTTAAGTGATTCAGATAATGGTTTACTTCACACATTTTTCTTTTTCACCCAGTTGAACAGTCTGAAGCTATTCAGATGTGAGAGTCTGTTTGGTTGATTCATGTAATTTCAGCCACGCGGAATGTTTGTCTGAATTTTAACGTTTTAAAAATGCATTAACGAGCAAGATTCACAGTATTTGCTGTGGAGGCTGCACTGGAAAACTGAGAGTCATCAGTGTTGAGCAAGTGGGAGAGTCTGCTGTGTGTGGTTCTGTGCTTATTCTCCTGGTGGACAGGGTTCCTCCATTCCAAGTTCCTGGGCAGTTTTCACTAAGGTCATTGTTTCCCTCTTACCTATAACTTCCTTCCAGTCCTCTTTTTGGATACCCAAACTCCAAAAATGAAAGTCCTGAATTATGAGAAAAAAATTCTAATAATCCCTGTTCTCTCATTTCAAATAAACTATATATCACCTGTTTGTATTTGATTCAGCAAGTAGATTACTGTTTTCAAATACCATAGCAATTGTTGAGGTAAATTAGACATTTAATGAGTCCTTTGGCATCTGTGAAGTTTTTTTTTTTTCCGTGTGTATGTGTATGTGTGTGTGTGTGTGTGTGTGTGTGTGTGGTAAGAACACTTAACATGACAAATACCTCTTAAAATTTAAACGTGCAGTAGAGTATTGTTGTTAACTATATGCACAGTGCTGTACCAGATCTTTAGAACCTATTTATTTATTAGTTCAGTCTCCATAGAGACTCAAAAATTGCCAAAGCTGACTATAGTTCAAGTCATCATTGTGAAAAGTTTTTAGTCAATAGTAATCGTGCCTTGGGTAAACATCATTGGCTATGATACTGCCACTGGGCAAAGCTAGAACTTTTTATCTTGCATGACTGAAACTCTATACCGATTGAACAACTCCTCATTGTTCCATACCCATTGAATAATTTCCTTCTAACTCCAGTCCCTTTCTACTTTCTGTTTCTCTAAGTTTGACTACTTTAGATACCTCAGATAACTGGAGTCTTGAAGTATTTGTCTTTTTATGATTGGCTTATTTCACTTATTGTAATGTCCTTGAAGTTTATCCATGTTGCAGCAAATGACAGGATTTTCTTTTCTTTTTTTTTTTAAAGGCTGGGTTCATTGTGGGATTGCTGGGACATATGGTAGTTTTATTTTCAATTTTTGAGGGTCCTCCATATTGTATTCCATAGTGGCTACCCCATTCCATATTCCCACCAACAATGTGCAAGGCTTCCAATTCCTCCACATACTTGCCAACACTTATTGTCTATTTTTTTTATAATAACTGTTCTGACAGGTATTAGGTGATATTGTGGCTTTGATCTGCATTTCTTTGATAATTAGTGACTTCGAGCCCCTTTTCATACATCTGTTGGCCATTGGGAGGTCTTCTTTGAAGAAATGTCTATTTAAGTCCTTAGCCCATTTTTTAATCAGGTTATTGGTTTTATTTCTATTGAGATGAAGGTATTCCTTATATATTTGGGAGACTAACTCCTTACCAGATATATGGTTTGCATATATTTTCTCCCATTTCATGGGTTGCCTTTTTATTCTGTTGTTTTCTTTGCTGTAAGAAGTTTTTTAATTGGATGTAGTCCCACTTGTTTATTTATTTATTTGTTTATGACCCCCCCCCCCCACCATCTTTAGAGAGAGTGGAAGGGGGGGAGAGAAACATCAATGTGAAAGAGACACATGGATTGGTTGCCCCTCCCCCCACACACACCCTGACCAGGGCCTGAGATTGAACCCACAATCCCTCCTTTAGCTGCCTCCTGCATGGCCCCTACCAGGAATGGAGCCCACAACCTGGGCACGTGACTTGACCGGCAATCGATCTGGCAACCTCTCAGTGCATGGGACGATGCCCAACCAAGCCAGAGTTCCACTTGTTTATTTTTATTTGTGTTGCCTGTGCTTTAGGTGTTGTAGCCATGAAACCACTAACTACCAAGACCAATGTCATGAAGTTTTCCCCTATGTTTTTTCCCAGGAGTTTTACAGTTTCAGGACTTACACATACACATTAAATTCATTTCGAGCTGATTTATGTGTGTGGTGGAAGATAAGTGTGTAATTTCATTCTTTTGCATATGGATATCCAGTTTTCCCAGCACCATTTGTTGAAGAGATCATCCTTTTTTCCATTGTGTATTTGGCACTCCTGTTGACAATCAGTTGATTGTACATGTGTGAATTTATTTCTGTGCTGTTTATTCTGTTCTTTGGCCACCGTTTGATATATTTCTTCAGAAAGAGGGAACTAGAAATGTTATAAGGAATAGCTGGATGGTGAGGGTTAAACTCAAAGTTGAGTGTAAGCTCTTTTATTTGATATGTGTAGTTAAAAAATATTCTTTTAGAATTGCCACCTGAGTGTAAGCTCTTTTAAGGCTCAAGTTTGAACGAAGAATATAGCATATACAATATCTGTAAAAAGTGCAGAATTATCTGTGTGGATAAACAACTATGCTAATTGTCATTCCAGTTGACTTTAGACGTCTTTCTACTGCCCCACTGCTAAAGAATTTATTTACTGGAGTGCTGCTAATGAAATGTTTACAATTACTGAGAGCAAATAAGCTGTTGCTGCTGCATTAATTTATGGAAAAAAAATCGTGGCAACTAATAATAACAGCAACAGGCAAACAGATAGTACTTAAATTTAATATGTACCAGATCCTCTTCTAAGCACTTTACGTATTTGCTTAATTCTTATAAAGCCACATGAGATAGATGCTATTATCATCCTCAGTTCAAACAGAAGCTGACAGAACTTGCCCAAGTGGCAGCAGCACGGATCTGAACTATGCTGCCGGGCTCTGCTGCTGGAGTCTGTGCTCAACTTTGTAGAGGGCCCGGCAGTAAATGCATTACTTCGTGGGCCTTACAGCCTCTGTAGCACTACTGAATTCAGCCATTGTAGCCTCCGTAGATAACACGCAAACAAATGGGTGTGGCTGTATCCCAACAACAACTTTGTATATATGGACACTGAAATTTGAATTTCATACAATTTTCATATATCATGAAACATTATTCTTTATTTGTTTTACTATTAAAATATGTAGTATATTTCTTAGCTGCCTGGTACAAGAACTGGAGGTGAGCCAGATTTGACCCTTGGGTAGTAGATAGCCAACCACTGCTATAAACCCCTTCAGGATTCTGGTTTTAAGATAAAGCTTATGACTAGCAGTGGCTGAGTCACCCTCAGGAATGATGACTTCCCTGGGATAGGAGCCTATGCACAGAATGGCTTCTCCAGAGTCTTCCCCATTGCCCACTAAGATGATCAAAAGGAACATTGTGAAACCTGGACCTATTGGGATACCCTCATTCATAGGCTGAGTATTGATGAACCTAAAAATTTCAGGAAAAAAGACTCAATAAGAACTTGACAAAAATAAAGATTAATTTACTTTTATGGTTTTGATATTCATTCCAATAGACAGGGTAAAGGTGGAGAGTGAGAGAAATAAGCAACTTTACTAAGTTCTTGGCATGTGCCAAGTGTACTCAATACTTCCTTATGGTATTGCACTAAAAGAACATCTCTTTGCAGAGGAAATGCAATTGTCCACATTTTATAGAAGAAATTGAGGCTTAAGTAACTTTCTGAAAGTTACATACCAGGTCTTTGACCCCTGAGCTACCTAACCCTGAAGCCAGGGTATTTTAAAATATAAACAAACTGCAAAGATACTAAGCCAA